TTTTAACTTTCTTGTGTCTCCAAGATTTATCTTTTACCACATAGCATTGCTTTCTTTCTTGTTACTTTCGTACGTGTTACTCGTAGTAAATCTAATAAGAATATCACTTCTTAGTTAGTAGTTAGTACTCGTATATATTATGCAAAAGTGTGACCATACTAGTAAGTAGTAACACAAACGAATAATTTTACTTCCAATACAATTACTTTCACACATTATAATAATTGCATACTATCCAAACCCTAACTCTTCGATCAAGAGTTAAATAAAAATTAAACGTGCCAATTATAATTATGGGACTAATAATTACTAATACTCATATTTAAGTACTTTGTATCATCATTACAATGAAAATCAAAGAACATTTTAACCAATCATTAGAAGGAAGTCTGCATGCCAATAACATGATTAAACAGGATGATATATATACAATCAAAACCAAAGTCTCACTATTGTACAAAATCATGCTATATATTCATGCATACCCTAAATATAAACCTATGCTTGTCTTCAAAATTTAAATAGACTGTTTTCATGAAGTCCATTTACACAAGCACCCCCCACGGCCCCACCAACTAAACCACCCATAAATCAACATCCAAAAAAAACCAAAATAGTAACAAATAAAAGTGTTACTCACCAAAATTAGAAAAAAAAAAGAAAAAAAGAAAAGAAAATACTCGTACAAAAGCTAAGCATTGGTGTTAATGTTGTAATTTATGTACTAATCTAATCATTGCATGTACTAATAATTAAAATTAAGGGTTATAAAAATTGTTTCTACAACTGCACTTCCAACCCAAAGGCTTGTAATTAGAGTACCTGTTATCCCAATAAGACAACTCAAACTCCGAACTCGGCGGTTGACTCGTTCGAGGTGGTTCGACTCGGTCAAGACTCGGCAATGTAGGTACTTGAACCGCCTTGCAAGGGTGGCACTGATTGCATTTGTTGTAGCAACTTGGTGGTGTTGAACCTAATCTTGTTTTTTCTTCACATAATACTCCCTGCTCAAAATACATTATGTCACATAAATTAAGTTATACACATAAAAACCATATAATATAATAAAAGGGAGAAAGTGTAATTACAAAATTACCCTCGTTTGATCAGAGGCAGAAACAGGGGAAGAAAACAGGGGAATAGTGAAAATTAAGAGGATAAAATAATGGTAGAGGAAGAATGAATAATTGAAGGCCATCAAAGAATCTGGGTTTTGAAGAATTCACCATGAAACAGAAAAAAAATTAAATTATTCAACCCAGTTAAAATATGAGTAATTTGATGGTAGTAAAAAACAAGGAAGAAGATGAAATAAAATGGGGTAGTGCTTAAACTGGGGTAATGATGAGGGTAGTAATAATGAATGAAGAAAGGAATGGGAAAGAAGAAATGAAAAAGAATGGGGGTTGAAAGGAATGGTCTGGCCTTAATGAGGACTACTGAATGTGGGGAGAAGAGAGAGAAAGAGAGCAATGAAAGGAACAAGACGAGTGTAGGGAAACAATATCACAGGGAATCCTCTGAGGGTTTTGGGGCCTTTCATTGTGTCATTTTACAGGTTTTCTAAATTTTATTTTTGGGCAGGCGAAAGATATTGGAAGTGAAACGCTTAAAACTGTGCGTTTGCAAGTGTGACGGATAAGCGGTTTGATTGTAGAAACAAAATTGTTGTATAGATCCTACATTTGGGTGTGACTTGTGAGCATAGTTTATATGCATAATGTTAGATAGAAAATGCGGATCCAATAAAGGATATGAAGTGAGTTCGAATTTTTGAAGACACGTAGTTAAAGGACACATGCAATTTTACAATAAGATTGTGTATTTATAATTATGAAAAGAATACATACTAAATTATGATTAAAACAGAACATGGAGATATAATGAAATGGTACGAAGTAACATGTCAAAAAAAAAAAAAAAAAAAAAAAACTTAAGATACAATAATCACTTGGCCTTTGCCCGACCATTTTGTGAATTTTTGGGCGTTGGTTGGGAGTTAGGCTAGGTGGCTAGTGGTGGTCAACCAAGATGTCTTTGTGTCTAGTCATCCCGTATCATGATTCGATTAAAATGGAAAAGCACGACACAACATGCTACTATTCACATTATCTTTGGAAAAACATAATTGAACCTGTTAATTTAGGTGAAATTTTACATAGACATATGAGTGACAATGGGTTTGGGCCACCCTTTTTTAAAATTTCAATACTAGGCATAGTTAATGGGCTTGGTTATGGGTCAAGCCTAACCAGAATCAAGGCTAATGACCCGACACAAGATGTAACTTACGACAATCTTTCTTCTTTAGTTATCATGGTGATTAGGGGGCAATTTTTGAGATAAAAAGTGAAAATATGGGACGTTGCTTAGTTATTTGACAAAGAATTAACCATTAAAGTGCGTTGTATTTATCTATTTTCATCTATTTGAACTTATTTTAGTTATAACTAAAACTTAATCTATTTGAACACTATTATTTAACTATAAAAATTTATATCTAATTGCAAAATAGGATGAAAGCTCTGTGATTCAAAAATTTAAAAAAATTATATTCACTAAAAAAACAAAGGGCAAAATACTCAAATACATGCACGGCTAATAAAAATAACTATAGATTACATCACAAAGTTATAGATAGAAAAATATTTTTGCATAGTATTATATAAATTAAAAGAATAATATCTTTTTTTCTTAAGGGAAGCTCAATTCATTAATAAGAAGTCATACGACATCTACAAAAGAGATCAGAAACAATTAATACAATGAAAATTGAATCAAATAACAATTGTAATTCTGTAAAACTACGATCGCGAGTGAGAATTGACATTGATGAATACCCTAGTCTCTTAAATTGCTGTCCACTACAATCATCTTCTACAAGGGGGCCTTGCGATCTTTGGTAGTTTTTGAATTGAACAAAAACTGATTCAATTAATTGTAGTCGTTGATCTGACAACCAATTCAAGGCCGCACGACCACCACCAACAAATTAGAACTTCCGATGGCAAAAGAGAAAACATCTACACCGATCAAGACCATCATAAGGATGGGATATATTATTATAAGCAATTAAATATAAAGGGATTTTGGGGATTACCACCAATCAAGGAACCAGTGGTAGCCCCTACCAATATTCACGAGGGAAATCAAGGAGAGAAGGATGAAAGAGAAAAAAAGGGAGAAGGGAGAAGATTGAAAGAAAACCCAAAAAACTGGGAAAACTCTAGCAAAAATTAGGAAAACACCCTCCCAAGGAGAACCCTAGAGGAAACTAAAAGAATAATATCTTTGTTAAATGTGTATAAATGGAATATACTTAACAAATAGGAAGAGAAATATGATTGTATACTAAGTATTTAATACTTCTCTCATATGCTTTGGAAAAATATATATATATATATATATATATATATATATATATATATATATATATATATATATATATATATATATATATATATATATATATATATATATATATATATTGCAGGGATCCTGCTATGGCATGGCCCGGCAGCGTAGTATTGTAGGAATAAGGAGGTATTTGGTGAGGGGGCAGAGGTGAAGGGTATATCGGTGGCTGCGGGATTTGTGTCCTTCTGCGTAGAGTATGGCGTGTATAATACCAAGGTAAGGGGACGCAATCCTATGGTTGGTGTCACTTCTGTGAGCTGCTGGGTGCCCCCTACAGGTTCCCATGTCAGGTGAACGTGGATGCTGCCACTTTTGGAGATACAGGTGTGGGACTAGGTGCTGTGATACTAGACTCTAATGGTGTACTGCTGGCTGCTGCTGTAAAACGACAGGAGTGTTGCTGGGATCCTGCTATGGCTGAAGCGGCGGCTGCTCTATTTGGGTTGGTCGTGGCTAGAAGTTTGGGGTACATGGATGTGGTGCTTGAGTGTGATGCCAGTAATGTGGTGCGTGAGGTTAGACAGCAAAAGGATGGAGCAGCTCCGATCTTTCTGTTTTTTGAGGATATTGCAAAAATATGTGATTCCCTAAATAATTTCAAATGTAATCACGTCAAAAGATCAGGTAATACGGTAGCCCATTTAGTTGTAAGGTGAGACACCGATATGAACTTGCCCCGTATTTGTACTGGCTCTTTCCCCCAAAGTCTTCAAACTTTGGCGGATCTCGATTTAATTAATTGATACCCGTCTTTCTGTTGTTCAAATAAATATATATATGGAAATTTTTTAAACAAGAGAAGACATGTATCACTCCTAGTTTCGCCTTATTTTCACTTAGTATATAGTTATAGATTTGAACTTTTTTTTAATATATGTTATTTAAGTGAAAATAAGGTGAATAATACAAGAGCCTTATGATACGTTTGGCTCATAATATTTTAACGTTATTTTGACTTGTTTTAAACAAAATAAATTCAAATAGGTTAAAATAAGTTTAGGACAAGTCATATTTTGTTCACCTTATTTTCATTTATTTAAGTCTCATAAGTTCAAATAAAATCATATAGGATAAGTTTTTTTAAAAAAAGTTCTAATAAGCATTACACAAGCTCAAATTATAATTAACATAAGTTTTAACAAGGTTTAATAACTTCAAATAAGGGAATATAACACACCACAAATAAGCTTAGTTATTTTAGTTTCAGAATAGGACAATAGGTTTAGATAGACAAAACCACATCCGATTCGAAACCGACCCGAAAAAATATCCCTGATTTAAATTTCGACTCGCGTGAATACAATAATTTAGTATGACTCAACTATAAAAGTTGACCTAACCCGACCTCATCAAACGCAATCCCGATCAGAACTGGCATCTCTAAGTTTTGACAAAATAATAAGATTAAGTAACCTTAGTAAGACACTAACACCACTTTGTAAATTGTAATCATCGATTAAGTAACCTTTGTAAGACACTGACACCACTTTGTAAATTGTAATCATCCAAAACAATGGATTACTTTAGACTTATTAAATGGTGAATGCACTACTTTAAGAGGTGATAATAGACAACTAGAGACCTACAAGTGGATAACATGCACACAGTTATCGTCGGGCCCGGGCTTCTCAATTGGGTTACGCAACACAAACCCCCTTTCATTTTTTGATAGGCCAACTATAGTTATATACCGCTCTTTTTTTTTCTTTTTTTTTTTTTTTTTTTTTTTTTTTTTTTTTTTTTTTTTCTGCAATTCCCAATATTTTCGGTAATTTTTAACTACCTCTCGCAAGTGATCTCCTTCTCTGTTTTCTCTTTCTTCCCTCATCAAACCCAGTTTACAATTTGATCATCAAATTCATTATTCAGGTATAATTCAATGCTTTCATTTGATTCAATCTTATTACATGCACTTTATAAAATTAAAAAATATTCAATCATACTTTCCCTTCTTTAATTTTAATTTTATTGCCTATTTAATGAATTTTTATTGTTATCATTTCTAAATCCCATTAATTTTTTCCCTGATTTGTGTCAATTTCTAAATACAAATTCACAAATTTTGATCTTTTTTTTTTTTTGTTTTGTGATTGATGGTAAATTATATTTTTAATTAAAGGAAGATCTTCTTAATTCCATGATTGTTAAAGTTCTTATCTTTACTTTTTATTGAACATACTCATTTGTAAAGGGGTCAAATGAAATTTGCATTTTTTTTTTTGGTTATAAAATGATCTCATGAAATTTAATGAATAAATTGTATTAAATTGTTGCTGATCATATCATGACAATAAATATTTTGATAACGTAAATTAATGTCCAAGATACTGTAATAAAAAGATTGATTTTGTGATACTGTTATAAATCCAATTAATTCCTTCAAATATATATAATATATTTGTTTCAAGAATTTCAATTTATTTGTGGCAGGATTAAATGGAAGATGACCCTAATTTTAGGCCATGGGATGAACTAATGCCAGACACATTAGGTTTGATATTTCAAAGGTTACCACTTGATGAGATACTCAATGTAGTCCCAAGTGTTTGTAAATTATGGGCAAAGGCGGTACGAGGCCCTTATTGTTGGCAGGAGATCGATATCGAGGACTGGAGTCGATATCGAAGGCCTGATAGCCTTGATCGGATCCTTTTGTTGTTGATTGGAAGGAGCTGTGGCTCGTTACGCAAGCTTTGTGTTTATGGTTTGGCATCTGAAATGAGTTTATCCTTAATTGCTGATAAGTAAGAGGACATATCTTTCTATTTCCATTATACTGAATTACTACTGATCAAAGTTCTATTTTTATGTCTTTAGCATAGGTTTAATTTATTTTCCTTTGATTGGTATGAAATTGATTTGGACTAGATTAGCTTATTCCCATGTTTTATAGAGGACAAAGATTGGATAAGCGACTTTTGATCATTTGTTGCTTGGAAATGTGATAGATTTTATACACTTGGACATTAATGAGGAAATTTTGACTTGGATGCATGCTAAGTGATGAGGAATTCCTAGTTGATCTACAATAAAATTGTCAATCTTGTATTTTGGTGTTAAATTGGACGTGGGAGGTAGTACTTTGAAGACTTGTACGTGGTTGGCACATGGTTTTCGTTATACATTTGATGGTTGTGGTAGTATTACTAGGTCATTTCTATTGTCTTTTTTTCCCGATTATGGTCTGTTTGTGCTGTGTGGTTAGAAAGTGTGAGAACTTTTGATATCCGAATTATACATGGTCCTTTGCTTGTTTGGATCTAGCTTTGAGCCTGCTGAACATAAAATTAATCGTAATTAGAAGGGGGGGGGGATTTCTGTTTTCTCTTTTTGGATTCTTTGTAGTTTTCAACTCTATAGTGAAAAATAATTTAGCTTGATAAATGATAATGTCATACGAAGTATACTAGATTGCTTACTATATATCCTATATTTAAAGAGAAATGTGAGTTATGAAGTTCAACAAAATTGAATGATCTGAATACTAGATTACTAATACTACTTGCAAGTTTTCAGCTTTCTAATCTCAATTTTTATGTATTGCAAGTGCCAAGTGCCTTCAGATTCTACGACTTCCAGGAAGTGAAATAAGTGGCTCGATGGTGGAACAAGTTGCTGTGAAGCTTTCTAGCCTCACTTGCTTAGATTTGAGCTATTGCACCAAAATTGGAGCTCCAGCTCTTGAGGCATTTGGAAAGAACTGCAAACTCCTTACTTGTTTGCAGAGGAACATGCATCCTTGGGATGTAGCCGCAATAATGAAAGATGACGAAGCATATGCTATATCTGCTACTATGCCACAGCTCAAGCACCTAGAGCTGGCCTACCTGAATATCACAACAGATGGTGCTGTTTGGATCCTCAAAAGCTGCCGTGAGCTTGAGTTGCTTGATATTAGAGGTTGTTGGAGCGTGAAAATTAATGAAAAGTACCTTAAGGATCGCTCAAAGTTGCAGGTAGTAGGACCTCTTGTTGTGGATGGCAGTGGCAAGGTAAAGGAGAGCGTTGATTTCTACCCTGGTTCTTCCAGCTTCTGGGCCTGGGGTTTTGGGGAGATGGATGAGTATGATGACGATGGTGATCAGGACGATGCATGTGATATGTCTTATGCTCCCTGGGATGATGTGCATGAGATGGAGGACTTAGGGTTGGTGTCCTACGACGATGTGTTTGGCTATTACTAAAATTTAACCGAATGGAGTCTGCAGTATTTTTTTTCATGTATGCGTTCGCGAGCATTTGGCTTTGAACAGCGAATGGTCTCTCGATCTCAAGGAATGATGTAGATTTTCTTAATATTGATTCCTACATCTATCTGAGAATGTTGAGATGTATTTTTAAGTTGATTAGTTGGCAGCCTAGTTTACCACTATTACCAGATGGAATGTAGATTTGATCTAGACCTCTTATACGTAGTACTACAGTTCAGAATGAACTCTAGCTCTAGTTTAAGCTTCTTTTATGCAGGTAATGATATTGGCATTTGGCAATGAATGAAATGTGTCTTAGGATATTGCATATTCTCTTCTTTTTTTTTTTTTTTTTTTTTTTTTTTTTTTTTTTTTTTTTTTTTTTCTTTTTTCTTTTTTTGATGAATGTTATATCTGAAGCCTCGTATTCAGGTTCATCACATTTTGAAGGATATCTGGCTTGTAATTTATCCAAAGTTACCTCAACTTAAACTCGGCTTGAATCAACTGGAGGCTGGAGCCCTATGCGAGACAGTTAGAGCTTGCCTATGAATGACTTGAAAGCTTGCCTTATCTATATGGATTTTAAAAAGTAGAAGAAATATTATAAAAGTGATACATTGCAACATTATAGTATCAAATTAAGCACTAGAAAAAACTCCATTAAGTCTTAACAATTTTTTGATAAACGCAAAGCTGTATAATCACTGTAAACAACCTTGTGACTTCCTGGAGATTTACCTGGCCAAGTTTAGAAAGTCAAAGGTCAAACTTGGCATATTATCACAGACTCACAGTAACTAACTCCTATATTTATACAATGTAGTCAGTCATAGTACATGTACTAAATGTAAACATGCGCCCACACTGACTTTTGAGATGTATAAATCATGTTACATATGATTTACGCTATAAATATTGCGCCACGAATCTTACCTAATACACTGCAAAATCTACGACTCTGCATTAATGTTAACAAAAGTTAAGCTACTGATTACACGAGATAATCCCCCAAATTGCTGATAGGATTCTTACAGGAATGTTGATGGTTACCTCAAGCAACTTCACTACAGTGTCCAGCCTACCATCCTTGCACTGAGAAACTGAGATAGAGAGACACTTTGCGAGCAATAATGCAGAATTACAGCATTCTCATCAGCATCATCATTTCAGCCATGGGAAATACAGACAAAACAACATTCCCAGGGAAGCTTTGCGTCAGTCTCCAAAACAGCTGGAGTTACTGTCAACCAGTAGCATCCGAGAGCAGTAATTAAGAAGAATCTGACATGCTAGATCTATATAGCTCCTCGTCCACTATAAGAGGTGGGATAGTCCATGATCCAAGAGAATATCCAGAAACCTTCCCACCTGAATCACCAGACAAAAATACAAATACCTCAACGACAAAAAGTTTTTGGCAGGAAGAAAAGTAAACAAATTTCTGTCATACTGAGAGAAAAAAATCACCCAAATTACAATTCTACCTTCTCTGGTGGCTTCTTCACATCTTCTTTGGTAGCTCGCATAAAGCTTGGGATCCAAAGCTTTTGACAGTTTCTCATACTTCTCTTCAGCCTCAGCAATACTTTTAGCCTAAGAAGTCAGATACCACATTTCCAAACAGATGATCACGGATAAGCATCAGAGTTCAAACTAATTTAATCATTTAAGGAAAACAAGAATGTACAGAAATTTAAGCATTAACTTGTACTGAAACAACCAGACACCCCCCCCCCCCCAAAAAAAAAAAAAAAAATAAAAAAATAATTATTATAATATTGAATTCACAAGAACCTATGAAATATATCTAGATGAGCCATATGACAGTGAAGACACTGCAATCCTTGAAAATCACTAGACTTTTATCAATTTTTACATGATTTTGAATTAATTATGGTATCAGCACAAGCAGCAAGACTTAGGCTTTGTTCTTTTCACTAGACAAACCATTATTTGAACTTACATGAAATTATCAGATCTTATCTAATGTTTTTGGTCCATCGAAATTATTTTAAGTAGAAAGAACAGAGCCTAAACTCTAATATGTGAGTCAACATTATGGCACAACTCACCAGCATGGTTGGGGCTGCAGAAGCGCCATATATTCTGACAAACACGCGCAATATATTGAAATTATTCTCCAGCACATCTTCCTGGACAAGAAACCACATGTTAAGCACAGGAAACCTTGAAGCAGAAATTATCTGTTCAATAAACTTTGCATGTAAGCTGACCTCATAATCGAATCTGATGCATCATTATTTCCAAATCCATCAGCAGAGAATAGTAATCAAACAGCATGTAAAGGTTTTTCCATTACAGACGTCATCATAGATGTATCAAAAATATAAAAGGTAAGTTACTTACAGATCATCGGATACCTCCACTAGATATTCGGAGATAGTCAAGAATTCCATATGAAAATCATTAACCTTCGTTGAAACTTAAAATATATCAGCGTCAGAGCAGTGAAGACCCATTGTGAATACACTTCAAAAAGCAAAGTGAAACAAGACACATTGGGTGACACATCTTTGGAGAATCTACTCTCCATTAAACAGGGAGGGCAAGTACACAATAAACAAGAAATCAGTAGTTTGTAGAAGCACATTGTTTTGGACCTCCAATAAGAACATATTATAGTGCACCGTTCACAAGCAGTTTCCAGCAAGCATGCAAAGCTCACGTCACAAAAGCAGTTAGCAGCACACAAAGATAGTCTAGAGTATGGAGACTACTTATTATGAACATCCAAGAAAGTATTTAAGATGTAGAACGAGAAATAATAATGACAGAGTATAAAAACTAATATTGTATAAAAATGAAACCAAAAACATTTTAGAATAAAATTAAAAGTAAGCCACATCACAGAAAAAACAGACCGGAAACAAGCGGTCAACGATGCAGAGGAGACTAGGCAGGCAAACTAGCAAAACATGCAAAAGAGCCAGAAACCACTAAAACTCGAAAAGAGCTTGGCGGCCTGGTTGGAATAAGAGGCAAAAATTAGCTATAGTATTCGCAAGAATCCTAAACCCCACAAAGGCATTTTAGGCAAAGACACCTTCATTGAACCAAATCACACCATGTTCGATTTCCTTCCCCTAGAAAGATACTCCACTAAATGAAGTGCAAGGATGAATATGAGATACTTAAACACCTACAGAAGCAAAGGAAGGAAATACCTCTTCTCCCTGCAGCTGATACAAAAGAAGATTCAAAACCCGATAATCAAAAGATTTGAGATGAATAGCCCTCAATGCATCTTCAATTGAAATCTGTAAATAAATTCAAGTCAATAACAATGCATATAATTGGCAAATTAAATATTTACAAACTTCTAAAGACTTAAATGCAGTGTCAGTAAAAGAATTGCACTAATGAATCCTCATCTCAATGGATATATGAACAATGAGTGAGACATAAATCCACACTCAATTCACAAGGGGAAAAGTCTAATTAGCAAATTCAATTGATAACTCATCCCAATGGATATATGAACAATTGATAAGTGCATTTACAATTTACTATTTAAAAAAGGTGAAGATCTGGAAGCAATATACAGGATATAACATTTTTAAACCTCATCTTGTTCAGAAGCACCACAAAGCCTCCTTTCTAAAGCCCAGTATTCCTCTCCATTTTTCAGTTCTTCTCTGATTCTGCATGCTTGAAAAAGTCGAAAGTTGTTTAGATGTTTTATAAATAATAAAAAAAATTCAACGTTGGCGTGTAACAGATGTGAGAAGTCAAACCTCTTTGTCAGCAGCCCATTACACTGAAGTAGAATCGTAAGTGGCCGGAATGTATCTGACTCAAAATCTTTATTGAACCTGCATGCCAAGGTAGAATATGCTTCCTGGATACAAACAAGACTCGGAAAAACTCCTCAGCCTCATATAAACATGTCCAAGAAGAATCTACTACCTCCGTTTCATATTAGTTGCAACTTTGGAATATTTTATATCTCACAAATAATACCCCAAAGTTGCAACTAATATGAAACGGAGGTAGTATAAAAGCACGATATTTTCAGCTTACTTTATCGGATCTTCCATCTCGAACAGCCACTTTGCTTACACTTACATCAACCATCTTCTCATTCAAAGTGTCCAACTGTTCAACAAAAGCTGTCTTAAAGGCTAAAATCCAGACTGAGATAGTAATCATCAAACTTAACATCTAAGCACCCGTAGTTACCTAATCTACAATCTACATACTGGTGAATGGCTGATGCAAAATTTTTTTCCCTTTAATTAGTAGGATAAGATTTTTTTTCTGAAAATCCCTAGAAGAGAACCAGATGGCCCCCGAACTTGTTCAATATAATTCCTTTAGAAGCTAGTTACAAGACAAACGATAAATCTTCATACCTGGTAGATATAGCTTTCAACGAAAGAAAGCACAGGTAAATATTTGAATATGGATTCCGGCCTGTTCACATCCATCCCATGGAACATAAAGTAAGATCTACACTGCCAAAAAAAAAAAAAAATGTTACCACCATGAAAGTTTGACAGAGTGACAGGGTCTTCTTTTACTAGATAAAATAATAAACAACAAGAACATCCACCAGAATATAAATACACAAGATTCACTTTTTAAGTACAAACAACCTATGTAAATTAACCAGGCTAGAAACATTTAACTAGAATATGGATGCAAGTGTAGGAATAAGAAGATTTTCTGAAGATTTTGCATGTTTCTCATATAAATTGGAATGTACTAGTGTCCATAGCTATGTTGACGGTTGGATATCCATCAGGTACTTTGGATGAAATGAAAACCCGTGTCAAATAGCATGTAGAGCGGCATGATAAGTTTTAGTAACCTCAAAGACGGTGGTAAGTAGGGCTCATCAAAATACATATTAAACTATATAAACAGTTAGACAACATCCACAAAACCAATTATCGATCTCAAAACATAATAGACCACTGCTGAGTCGCAATGTGATCAAGTAACATGCTTTGAGGAATATAGAATCACTCACAAAGTCTTCAATTGTGGAATTCGCACGTTGCATCGCATCCAACCCAATTAAAGCCATATCCTCACAGGCTGCATTCGATCCTGAACCACGGCTGCCATCACCAAAATCCTCCTTAACCAAGTCAATAGACAGTGAATCACCCAAAACACCCGTCCGTTCGCCTGCAATAACCCCGTAACCATGAACACTCTCCAACTACAATAGTCGGTATTGGGTAAACCCAAAAGGGTCTTCTCAACAAAGTAAAGATCCACTAAAATGGTAATCAGCAAGGTTTTGAGTATTCTCACCGGGCAAAACTACCAATGCATTCTCAAGAAATGACGGCGAAATCTACGCAATAAATGTAAAATTACAACTAAGAAAACAATATGTATCACAAATTAGAAACGGATAAATGCATAATTAACAGATTAAACATGGATTGATCACCTTAGGTAAATGTTGGGAAATTAAGCTACATTTGTCGTCAATACTCAGTTTTCCACTGGGTTCAATCTAATTCATAAAAAGACAATGGAAATTCACGAATTATTGTTCATTAGAAATGCTGATTAAGAAAGTAGATTGACAAAACAATCGTTTTTACAAAAAAAAAAAAAAAAAATCGTAAGAAAGAGAGAGTGAGTTACCAGAAAAAGGAGAAATTGAGCGAGAAAACGGTGGGAATCAGAGAGAGAAGAAGTGGGTGTTGGAGAAAGGAAGTGTTGGTAATCCATGAACATCAGCATCCTCTGTATTTCTTCCAGTTTCTTCAGTACCTCCATTTTCTGCTGCTTGTTTGGAATAAAGTACGGAGTAGAAAGTTAATCAAGTGTGAAAGATTGAAACAGGTGATTTTTGCTTATATATCAACCCTAGTTTATGCAAAATTGCTCCCAACATTTTTTGCAAACAGAGTGGCAAAACTGGCAATGACATAAACGGACTTCAATCCTAGGTCATGGGTACGGTACTATTGGAGTACCTTAAAAGACAAAAACTAATTGTTTCATCTGTTTGGTTTATTTTATTTGAAATTACTTCAACTTTAATTCAAATGAAATACATATTAAGTTTTAGATTTTGGGTTTCATTTCATTTAGTTTAACCTTTAGTTCGATTTGTTAATGGGTTAATAATTTCAATTGCGGTCAATAATTTCAAACAAATAAAATGAACTAAACTGCTAAACATATCCTTAATGATGGGCTGTCCTTAATCACATTAATTTTTTTTATACTTTCTTATTCACATCTACTCAAACACAATTATACAACATTGTAAAATTTCACTCAAATAGTAGTAACTTAACACAATAATTATGTTTGTGTTGATCAACTTGTTACTTGTATTTGAGTGGATGTGAATAAGAAATTGTCCGGCTTTAGCTTTTTCTGGCATAATGAGCTATCACGACGCTTCCAAAGGGGTAGAGTGGTAGACACCCTAGAGTTTGGATCACATATTAATTTCATAAGTATGTCAACTTGTCAATCTAAACTTCTAAACTACAAGTAATAAACTTTAAGGATTTATGCCAGTAGAAAATAAGTTGCGCCATGGAACCTCTTACAAGCTCAAAGAAAGGATTCATTCAACAAAGATATCTCAACAAAACAATTTGCTTACATCATTCATATTATTCAGTACAATGAAATTGAGTCGGACTCTACATAGAACTTAATATTGGTCACAACATTATACAGTCAGCATTACCCTCACAATAATGCCTCAAATGGTACATTACAAATGAGTGGAAAATATAGGCAGCAAGCCAGCAACCACCAACGGTTTGTCAAGTCTGCGACGTTTCCACATAATACCAGCCCTAATTCCTTCCAAACGATAGCCCTGAATGATTGTGTCTCGACAAAAATGTTCAAGGATTTGGGATTGTTTTCACTTGCTTAGTCCATCCTAAGACAGCCTGACAATAATTAGATGTTAATGACAAGAATTCGCGACTTCATGATCCTGATGCTCTGTCATTACTTGCCCCTGTTTGCACTGTTGTTGCTTGGATTTGTTGCCCATCCACTTGTTTCAAACCATTATCTGGAACTGTTTTATTCACACTCGACTGACTTGGTGATTGTTTGGTTTCGAATAACTTTCCACTCTTTGCAATTGCAAGAATCAACTCTAGCTGTTTTTGCTGCTGGTCCTACACACACGTTAAATCTTTGGTCAGGACATTTTCAAAAATTGCATGACAAATAGAGAGATCCATATCACTGATATCTGACGACCATGACAACTATGAAATTTGCAGGAATGGAGGGAGCAGGGATAACGGTATACCCAATGTGATCCAAACGGTAAACCTTGTATACAGCAGCAAAAGTCTAATAGAATAAATAGATATCACTAGGAAGCTAAAACATCGAGTGCATGCAGTAAAGGACCTTTACAAGCTTTTAAAATTCTATGTAACAGTTATCAACCCAGTAAAGGCGACTCAAATTAACTGAAAACGTTACTATGTTCTTACCTGCATTGCAAGCAAAACTTTTTGAACTTCGCCAAGCTCCTTTTCTAGGATGCTTTCTTGAACTGCTAAAGCACGAGTGGCTTCAGAATTCTTCTGAGTCAGAGCTGCAGTCTTTGAGCAGACACAAAGTTAAAATCACAGTACCAAGGGACAAAGAAGAGACAAAAACGTGAGATAGAAAGGCTGACACAGATGCTGACACGCAGATAAACAGATTAAACCTTTTTTTTTTTTTGTTTTTTTTTTTTTTGAGGGAACAGAATAACTATATGCAATACTTTTCACATTTCTATACAACTTCAACCAACTAAATTTGCTTTCAATCTTAATCTATACAGGATGAATTTCCAGCCAAAGAGCAGGTACATGGTTTGAACCCAGGCCCCTCTTTCCCTCGTGGTTGAGAAATGTTAGGGGTATCAACTAGTTTGACCCTTTTTTTTTTAGATGTGCTCGTCGAACCTTAGTCATAACTAGGCAGCCACACCAAACAGCCCAGTCCAAGCCCAAGATGGGCATTTTTAGGTGGGGCTATACGCACACAAACACACACACTAAAATTTGTTTGTTAGTTTCTCAAGTGAATTAAAACAACTAAACACAAAAGCTGACAACAATTACAAGATAAAAATAGAACGCAAGAATGGGAAAACCAATGGCATAAAGCAGTTGCTGGTTGCAAATAAAGTTTCATAGGCAAATTTCACAGGATCGAGGATGGCTAAATGAATCCTCCATGGCTCCATCCATCCTTCAAATGAAATCATGGGAAGTATAAATCTCGAAACTGTGTGCAACTATGTTGTTTCCTTCTTTGTGAGGGAGATTATCTCAGGAACTCACGTATCTAGTTCTGTCATTATCTTCAGCAACTAAGCACCCATTTTCCAATTTTCCAGTTCTAACAGCCTGATATTATTATTCTCCATTATTTAGACTCTATCCTGGAAGGGAAGTTCTACCACCACCACTCGGCTTAACACACAAAGCTGCTATGAGATACAATTGCATCCCCCCCACCTGTTAGGAACCTTAATCTTTAAAACAAAAATTGCGGAAGAGGGAAGGTAGGGCAAAATTGAAAAAAAAAAAAGGTAATCTAGTCCTTCTGGTTTCTGATGTAAGCACACCACCCAAAAATTCGCACTTCTTCTAGTTGTTATATTGAGGTTTTATCATACCCTACATAGGATTTAGACATGATGAACAATGTAACACTAGATTCAGCATGCCCTTCCCCTGTCTTCCTACCCCGAGTTGCATATGGTTCACTCGATTTCATAAAATAGGAATCAAATAGCAATTGAATTGCCGATAAAATTTTGTGACCTGTATAATAGATGTTGCATCTATTAATATAGCCTTGACATAACAAGATCTGTAATGTAACTTTGGAGTTTGGACAGTCATAACGAAGTCCTGGTATCTTCAATTTAAGAGCTTTTCTATCAAAATACAATGTCCAAGTCAAAGTGTATTGAGCAAACAAAAATGCAAGAAAAGTTTTAGAACACACAATAACTAACATTGCAAAAACTCCAATAAATATAGGTATATAAAAACCCGGGCAACAAGCAGCTAAGATATCCACCAATGAAACAAAATCATCTTCATAATTTTCACATAATTGAATTTTTTTTGGCCGATGTTAGTGGGATTGACCAAGGAAGCACTTTTGGGACCTGTACTTTCCCCATTTCCAATGAAGCTCATAAATGATTGGGACTTGAGGTTTTCTCGTTTCCAAAACCCGAGCCATTTCCATGCTACATAGGTTTTAACTTCTATTTTGGAGGGTTTAGTAAGTTTTTGCAATGCACAATACTCTTATACATTGCATCAAAGACCTTGAGTCTCAGCAAAAAAAAAAAAAAAAAAAACTGAAGTAAATCCCAACACACAGAATGCATGTGATTAGGATCTAATTGAAGTGCCCAAACAATTTGTAAGCAATCAATCATTAAATAGGCATTCTTACCAAAAAGATGTTAAAGATTGATTACCTCAGAAATGGGATCCTTCAAGGATTTCCTAGTAACCCGAAACCGAACCCCTAATTTTCCAAGCTGCCTAGATAGCATCCTAATGATGGAAGTAGCACTCCTCATACTCTCCTCCAATTTCTCAATCCTGTCAATCACATTTCCAGTTTCAGAACCCAGTCTCGAGTTCATGGGCGGCCCACACACCCGCTTCCATTGCCGCCTCCGGATCACGGAACCAACAGCTACAGCCGCAGCTAGAATCCACACCAATATTCTGTTTCCCAGCACCAGCAACCCAGAAGTATGCTGCTTGAAAAATACCCAATTTACACAAAATCCCACTGAAATCAATACTGAAGAAATTACCAAAATTGATTCCAGGAAAGATAGAAAACCATCCAAATTAAACAATTGAATCGAATTCTCTTCTTCCTGAAAAGCATTAATGGAAGAATCATGAACTTTGATGAGAGAAATACGATTTCGCAACAAAGATAAGTTCTTTTGGAATGGGTAGGCGTTATTTTGCAAGGATTGATGATGGAGGAGAGAGAATTTGAAGGGTTTGGTGGAATTTAAGTGGGTGGTGTTTTTGGGGGAGTATAATTTTACTCGATAAGTGGCATTGGATAAGGGATTTTGAAGAATTAGTGACATTTTTTACACTGATTTTCAGTTGATTTGTGGATTTTTCAAAGGTTTATTTGGAGATAGCGATCTTTTTATTTCAGGGATTAATCATTGTTAGGGTTAATTGGGGTTCTGATAGTAGGATTTAGGCGGAGAAGTTGAAGTTCATCGGTTGAGGAAGAAGAAGAGGAGGGAGGAGCTGTGCCCAATTACCATTGTATTTTTGCAATTGTCTTTTTATTTTTATTTTTATTTTTATTATTATTTTTACCTCTGTTATTTTTTTTAGATGCAATAATAGAGCAGAGTAAATTAAATTTTAACAAAGCAAAACAAGCAGAGCTACTCTGCTTTAAAGAACAGGACTTTACTTTTTTTTTTTTTTTTTTTTTTTTTTTTTTGTGTTTGGTTTACGGTTTACCTATATACTTTTCTTTTTTTTTTTTTTTCTTTTTTGGTCTTATTTGACTTTTACGGTCTCAAAACGCGCATTAAAACTAAAATATATTTATTTTTATGCGCGTAAAAATTATAAAACTTGATATTAATAAAATATTGTATACAATGAGATGAATTTAACAATATTTCATGTAACTATATAATCTCCTATAGATTAATGATATTTAGTAGTCAAAGTTATAAAGTGACCCAAATATTGGCAACAGGGTAAAAATTTAAGGATAGAGGGAGTACTTTGTATGACAATTAATCCGAAATTGAAAAATTTATAAAAATAAGTTGAGAAGATAGTTAAGAATTGAAAGAGTGTAGGCATGTAAATGAGATACCATAGGCGTAACCGCATGAGTATAAGACCTATAAGTTGGAATGGGAGCTAACCCAAGATAATAAGGTTGACATAAAAAAAAAATTATATCAGCCTTCAATTTCAAGGGAAAATCGTT